ATTCCTTCCAGTCTTTTTTCTCTGCCCAGCTGGTTTTATTTCTTTTACTTTTTTGTGATTGATCTTTCTGTAAAAGTTTATGTTCACTTTTTGGTTGTTGTTGCTTACTTTTATGACTTGCATTTTTACATATTCCTATTCACAAATATATTTTTAATGCTAGCACTCAATTTAAAATATATCATACTTTCCTGGTCTTACCATTTTCTTATACTTTGTTATATATAATTAAATCAGAAAATACATTTCTTTGTGACGGAATGAAATTATTTGTTTCAACTTCTATACTAAAATTTCAAAGTGTCAGATAAACTACCAAATTTCATAACAATTAAGATACCTAAAGTCAAACTACCAAATTTTAAATAATCCCAGATGTGTATTTCTCCTCCAGTTGCTAATGCAAAACCACTTCCTCTTTAAAGTGTGCCTCACTTCCTGTCATTCATTTCCCCGGCCTTGGTTGGCAGGTCTTATTTAAAACCATGACAACTAAGATATATATACATACATCCACATACACACAAATATATTTTTCTTTCTAGACTGGGGTAACTGAATGAGACAAGACTTTTGATTTTTTTTTCCTCCTAAAGGAAGCTCCCTCAATCTGGAGATATTTTTGAGTATGTATGGTTAAACATTGTTTTTTGGTTATTGTTTAGTATTTGTTTTCTTTATTTGTTTATCTAGAGATTATTAAAGAGCTTGTGACTCACAGAAGGCATTGTGTATTTACCTAGGATGTTTACAGAATTTCCCCCTCCCCGAGGGAGTTACAATGCAGCTGCTTTTTATTCCTCACCTGTTGCCACTACCCAAATATAGACAAGTCTAAAGCACCACAGAGACCCATCTGGAAAATAGCAAAACAGATGACAAGGTGGTTCACTTCTTTTCTTCTTAAGAGTCTCTCTTTTAAAATTGTTTCCAGCGTACATTTTGGTCGGTTTGGTTTTTCTAAAAGTAGCAAATTTCTAATATTCAGACTATTTCAGCTAGATTCTTGGATGCACTCAACCAAGTATTTTTGTGCCCCATTAGCAGTCTTATCTAAATGTTCACCTCATGGCTTTCATGGTAAATGTGCGGTTGTGATGATTTGCTCCCAAAGGAAGAGTAACTTCAGATCTGATTTGGAGAAAAGGGATAAAATGCTCCCTCTGTGAGCTCCTCCCCTGGAGCCCCAGGATGCTGGGAGCTGGTGACCCTGCTTCATCAACAGGTCAGGACAGTCCAGTTTGTACCAGTTATCCAAATGCTTAAGATGACTGATTTTTTGTTGTTGCAATTCTTCTCATACTAAATCACCACGTAGCTAAACATACTGCTTTAGGACAAATCTTTTTGACAAATTATTTATTTGAAGTCTCTGGTTGTCTAATGAAAGGGAAATAAATCACAGTATGTAAGAAACAGAAGAATTTTTAAATAAAGTTTTATAAAGAATTACAGAGGTACAAGTTTAAATGGAAGGAGAGGGAGAATATGAATATGAATGAGAGATTGTTGTAGGCAAGGAGTAGTATTTCATACATACCTAGTTCATTCATTCATAGTTCATTCATTTAATAAAAGTATTGATTTTTGTTCTACTATTATAAATATAAAGTATATTTGTTATATTAAATGGAACAAACAACTTTCAATCTTATCTCAGAAAAAAAAACTCTCATTTTAAAATTTTGGCCAAGTTATATATAATTTAATTGGTTTTCTTAACAGAATCAATTATTCGAAGGGGATAAAAAATTAGTGAATATTTCACATGCTTGCACATAGCTAAGTTATATTCCATCTGCTATAGTAGTACAATAAAAGTCAAAATTTGAAGTTAGCCAAACATTATAATTTACATGTCACAATGAAATAAAGTGAAATTTGAAATGTAAACTTGTAAAGTTCCCAGCTCAAGCTTCTTTTAACTTTACTGGTATATAATTTATGTACCTTGTTATAGCTTTCTTCTTCCCATCATGAATCTTTTTATTCCTCAATTTTGAGACTTCTTCTACAAAGCAGACCCAATGGTATCTGTAATATTCCAGGTCAGTTTTCTTGATGAGAAGAGCCCACAGAAGCCATAAAATTTGTATATATCTTTAGCTTATGAGGTTTCTGCTTCTACCTACCAGTAACAACCTTTCTTTTAATGTTTGTGTCTTTGGTGGAGAGTTTCAAGTACTCTGAAAAAATCTCATTATATTCTCTCCAGGAAAGTAGATGAACAGATGGCTTCCACATCCACAAAATGGGGATGTTCATGGACTTCTGGAACTATACTGAAATTTTAGAATTCCCTGTGGTGGTTATACAATATGTTCCTTGAAACAGCAAATTCAGGAATGGACTGCAATGCAGGCCATTTGTCAAAAAGCCATTTTTTAATCCCACGGAGGTGTTTCTTTCTCTAGTCCATAAAGTAAACAACTTTGACATTAACAAATCCTTCACTGTGCAACATTTTTTCTTTCTACCTTCCTCTCTCTTTCTTTTACTTCTGTTTTTCAAATTACCTTGATGGCGTAGTTACGTAAATTGTTTTCTATTTCCTCCCAGACTTCCAAGTTCCTTCACCAGATTTCCAATAGGTTATACCTCACCCAATAGAGTTGAGATCATCCTGCCTTCAAGCTACCCGACATCAGATTTATACCTTACATTGTTCTATTTCTTCTCATTACAACAGAACAAAGGAAAACTGTAAAGTGCCCTCAGCCTTCTGAACACTCTGACACCCAGAAGTTTTAAAACTAGACTATCTTACCATACATCAGAGACCTTTGAATTGGATACTGTAGGAGAGGAAAATAAGACTTTCCTCTACTCTCTTTAAGTCAGTGGATGGGGCTTGTGATTTAAACTGATAAAAGATAAAATAACAGGAGAAAATAAAAGAGTATACAACACACGTACATTTGGGAGTGGTAAGTATCTCAAAGGAGTGGTTAGAATTTGGGACTGATATACCATCTTAACAAAAGGTGATAAATTTGTGGAGAAATGACAAGACAAAGGAAAAGGGATTTTGGCTTCTAGGGGCAGTAAATCACGGGAAGGTAAATATATGGGGAAACTACTTGAAGTTAAGGGTTATTTAATAATATTTGTTTGTACAGACCCATCTGGGTGCCAACTTTATGTCCCCAGCAGTAATGGTGGCGGTCTTCCTCCTGGTACGGGAGAGGGGAGGGGAGCACTTTCACAGAGGAAAATGTGTATCCTGCTTTTAGGCAGTGGGAGGAGAGCAAGGAGCTCTTTCTGCATTTGATGCTTCTTAATTGCCTTCAGCTCAAAATAATCCACATGTGAAAGTTTTGGAGTGGCCTTTTCTGACCCCCTTCAGTACTTTAGATACTAGTAAACACATCTGTTAGCACAACAAACTGACTTCTGCAGAGCACGTGCCTTCTTTCTCTGGGGTGTGTACTGTGCTAGGCATCTTGTCAATACAAATATCAGAACCCATTCTTCACTACAATGCTATTAAATACCTTAAATATCATAAGACTCAACCGGAACAACATATTGAAAATACAGGATTTCTAGTCTGTCGGTACATTTGGACTCAGTGGGTCTGATATAGGGAATGGATTTTTTTTTTTTTTTTTTTTTTAATCAGGCAGCCTGGGAGAATTTTGACCAGTAAGATGAAGGAAAACACTGAGACAGGGATTTTGATCCCCATTTTAAGATGAAGACATGAACGTTTTCTAGAGCTGCACTATTTAGCAAGATAGCCCTTAACCACATGTGGCAATTAAAATTTAAGTTAACTGAATCTGTCTGTCACTGAATGTCAAAATGTTAATTCAGTTTCTCAGTCACCCTAACCACATTTCAGTAGCCATACTCCACAGAGCAGGTGTAGCATGTCTTCATCAGACAGAAATTTCTACTAAACAGCACTGTCCTAGAGATCAAGTAACTTGCCTAAGGTCATATAGGTAATAAGTGGTGAGATCAACTTAATGGGCATTTGGACTTACACCTCTCTGACATAATTACCTTTTGCCACAGAAAGTCCAGCTTGGACAGGGTGTAGATCTGTCCCAGGGAAAGACTTGAGAAATTGTTCTGTGTTGAGACTGAACCAGCCTTCTTCAGATGTGTGTGAAAACACAGATTCCCCCCTTTTGGGGTGTTAACCTTAAAACCAAATGGCCCCTCTGAGAGTGCTTGGTGTAAACCTCAAATGGTACCATAGTGGGGGCAATGCAGACAAATGACAGCCACTAATCTGACTGCACAAATCAAACTTGATCCATGGGAGCAATCCCCCTCTGATCCACAGTCAGTCAACAATAGGATGTTCACCTGATCCAAGAGAGAATCTGCTTCTTAAATGTTTCCCTTTTGCAACTTAGTATAACAGTTTCTCTTCTCATATCTAGACAGTCTTTGGTGTACTCCAAATGTTTCCATTTTGTCAGTGGTTGGGATTTTTTTTTTTTTTTTTTTTTTAAAGAAATGCATTCTAATAAAAAAATCTAGCATTATAATCTCAAAGTATCAAAAACCATGGCAGTCTGAGTTTATTATAATGGAAAATGTTAGGCTTTAACTACAAAAAAAGGGTAATAGATTTCTTACAAATGAAGACAGTAAACTTGAAGAAATTTATTAAAGCATCTTATCACAAAATGGAAACATACAAATCAGAAACATACAACCATCATCTTCCAGTCATGTTAAAATGTTATATATTTGTCCTGTTTTCATAGCTGAAAACTTCAGATCTTAGAGCTAACTCGCTCACCCTGAATATTTTAGTCATTCCTCCTGAAAGTATCCAGGGCAGCACATAACCAAAATGCAAACTATTATCTAAAGAAAGTGCAAAGTTAAAAAAGAAAATGTGTAGAGAATAGCCCTTCCCGCCCCCGCCCCCCATAAAAGGCAAACAATGGCACTTTGCTCTTGCTTCACCTAGATTGTCTTCAAAGACTACTAAAATGTAATAGATTTAACAAACAAAAAAGCTGACTTATAATAGATGTTCAAAAGCTTGTTAGTGTTCGAAAATAAATGTTTAAACAAAGGAAAAAGTAGTTTGTATCAACAAGTCTGAAGAGCCCTGTAGTGCAGCATTCTGTAAAACAAACAAGACCAAAGCTGGTGGTGTCAGGGTTACTGACAAAGGCAGAATGTCTTCGGGCAGGTATGTAAGGCGGTGGCGGCTCTTTTCCGGGCATCTTCACGGCCATTTCATAGGTTGGCAGAACATACTGTGGAGGTGCTTCAAAGGCAGGGTACACAGCAATCTCTGGTGTGTTTCTGTTGTTGATGTATTTATAGCAGTTCCAAACACAGTTGATTAGATAAGCCTTAGAGACGATGAAAAAGATGAAGAACACAAGAACAACGAACAGGAGGCAGCTGGAGTCCAATGCCAGGAGGCCATGTTTATAGGGAAGATCAGGTCATTGATCCAGATATTCTTTGATTCTTGGCAAATAAGTGAGAGAACTGATAGCAACCAGGCAACTGAGGACGAAGTCAAAAAGCCGGTAACAGAAGAATGGAATGAGCCAACCCACTTGATAAGAAATTGCTCCATACACCAGCGCTGAACTGATTATAAACATAAGAACAGAGACGGCAAAAAGAACACAGGCATTGTCTGCCATCCTCTCAGATGAATAGTAATTGCCAGTGACTTCATACTGAATGTTGACAGATGGCACTGAGTTTGGATGAGTTACCTCCACAGTCAGCGAAATTGCCATCAACAGGTTTACCACCATGTACCAGGTCCCCAAGATGATCGTCCCGGTGCGGACATGGCAACAGCCACAGCACCGGGTGCTGTGGAACCGGTCGCTGCGGCTCCGCTTGAAAGTCGTGGACACCATCGGGAATCTCGCGGACCTTGTTCTTGGCCGGGCCCCTGACAAAGGCTTTCCGCCCAATGGATGGACCTAACTAGCTCTGTCACTGTGTCCAAAACCAAACGACGCGTCCTGGGGGATTTTTTTTTTAAACCTCATCCCAGAGGAGGGGTCCCTTCCCTGGGTCACACCGGGCTCAAAGATCTCATTTTTGCTGGTTGTCCAGCTGAGCAACAACAGCAGGGTTCCACAACTCCACCTGATGTCTAAGGGAGCAAAGCTCGCAGCTGATAATCTCACTGTCTTCATGCCACTCACCTAAACCCTCAACATTCTTAAAGGGTCCAGTCAAATACCCTTCCTTGATCAAGCCAGAAACCATGTTGTTGTTGTTTTATCCTCGCCTGAGAACATTCTTCCACTTTTTTGTTCAGGTAGAGTGGGAGGGGGGGAGAGAGAGAGAGAGAGAGAGAGAGAGAGAGAGAGAGGGAGAGAAACATTGACGTGAAAGAGATACATGAGTAACTGCCACCCACACAACCCCAGGGCCGGGGACAAACTGCAACCGAGGTATGTGCTCCTAGCGGGAACTGAACCCAGGTCTCTCTGGACCGCAGGCCGATGTTCTAACTGCTGAGCCAAACCGGCCAGGGTGAAACCATGTTTTTTGTTTTTCTTTTATTATTATTATTTTTTTTAATTTTTAATTTTTAATTTTATTTTTGTTACAGAAGTTTCTCCTTTTTTACCCCATTGACACCTTCCTCCCCACTACCACCCTCCCCCCCCGCCCCGCCCCCGGCTTTGTTGTCCGTGTCCATTGGTTATGCATACATGCATACAAATTCTGTGGTTTATCTCTTCCCTCCCCCCACTCCCTCCCTCTTCTGAGGGTTGTCAGTCTGTACCCTACTTCCATGTTTCTGGGTCTACCCTATTCCTCAGACTGTTATGTTCATTATATTCCATAAATAAGTGAGATCATGTGGTATTTGTCTTTTTCTGCTTGGCTTGTTTCACTTAGGATAATACTTTTCTTTTAATGCTTCTCATAGTCTCCCATGTCATAGACATTTGAGTACAATGACTTGGATGTCTGTCTTATTTCTCCTTTCTAGGCCGTATGCTCCTTGACCTCAGGGACTCTTACTTAAACATCAAAGGATCTAATTATTTGTTGGATTGAGTTGGGAAGGCAATTACATGTGTAAATTCTGATTACTCTTTAGCCTGCTTGGGAGTCAGCACCATGAGATTTCCATACTCTGTCTGCCTCTTTTTTGTAAGTCACACTGCCTTTCAGATTGTTTCCATCTATTCCTCTGCCCCCAATATCATGTTTTTCTATTAAGGAAGGACAATTTGGGGAACACGCTGTATAATGTAGTATTTCTATAGTACCTATGTATTTCCATGGGAAGTGCTTTTAATACAAAAATTTTTTGTGGATCTCTTAATTTAAAAAATAATACATTGTAGTGGCTACAAAAATTGTTTTTAAAATGAAGACTTTTGATAAAATGGACAAGGATTCAAAGTGAAACTATATTAATTTAATGAACTCTTAATGAAACGTCTTTTTAAAATTTAATTATAATTGGGGGCAAAACATGGCAAATAGAACCAATTTAATCTATTCGTGTATTTTTCAGATCTGTTGAACAGGAACATAAAAACATTTTCTAAACTAAAATAACCCATTTGATTTAATCTCTACAGGGAATTAAAATGTGGCTTCCTGGTGGGATTTAATGAACTCTAGAGTGTAAATTGTGTGTGAAGTGTGAATGAGAATTTTAAAAATGTGTTGCAGAAGACATGATTCAGTACATAGAATGTCCAAGATAATTTAAAGGTAAAGTTAATTTAGCACATTTTAAAAAGTTCCTGAATATAACACAACATGTAAAAGTTAAGAGCTCGTAATAACCAATTAGAAAATGTAAATGAAAAAATGTTCCATTCACATGAGCAAGAAAAATCCATATGAAATTGTGATTTAGGAATAAAGCTAACGAAGATATACAAAAATCTTTGAGAATAAAAAAGTCAAAATGTTACTGAGGAACACTAAGGAAGCCTCGCGTGACTGCAGGTCTGCCATGCTAATGAGTGGGAGCAGGGCCTCTGTCTGTAATCCGTCAGGGTATTCACAGCGCAGGTCTCCTAACCAGGGAGGGGCCAGCAGAGGCCGAAATCTAGCCTGTGCTAGTCTCCATTCATGTAGCTGCATCTGCCCCGAGCAGTGTACCTTCCAGTTTGCACACACGTGCTGAACGGGCTAGCAGAAGCTTTAGATCGGAAGAGTAATAGAGCTGTCAGCCTCGTAACAATCACAAGTTAATGGTTATTCCACCCAGAATCCCAACATTGGTCTTCTATGGAACCTGACATAATTCACCCTCGATTGAAGTGGAAGAGCTTTGGCTGAAGAATGTATAAGAAAATTCGAAGAATTTCCCTGGCCGGTTTGGCTCAGCGGTTAGAGCGTCAGCCTGTGGTCCAGAGAGACCCGGGTTCAGTTCCCGCTAAGGGCATGTACCTTGGTTGCAGTTTGTCCCCGGCCCTGGTTGGGTCGTGCGGGTGGCAGCCACTTGATGTGTCCCTTTCACGTTGATGTTTCTCTCTCTCTCTTCCTCTCTTTCCTTCCCACTCTTTCTGAACAGAAAATGGAAAAATGTCCTCGGGCAAGGATTAAAAAAAATTAAAAAAAAGAGAAAATTCGAAGAATCAAGTGGGAAGACTTTACTCTCCAGATACCTGAAATTAACATAACATTGTAATAATGAAGACAATTTGGTATTAATGGTACAGGGGTAGACAATAGACAAATGAAACAGACACCAGAGAGCTAAAAAACAGCCCGTTCAAATATGGAAACTTGAGCTATATCAGAAGTGGCTATACGTTTTGGGAGAAATGTGGACTATTCAATAATAGTTCTGGAATAATTAGTTATCTGTGTGGAAAAGTATTTATTCTTTTGTTTTTATCCTCACCCGAGGACATTTTTCAATATTTTGTTCAGATAGAGTGGGAGGGAGAGAGTGAGAGAGAAACATCGATGTGAAAGGGACACATCGAGTGGTTGCCACCCACACGACCCAACCAGGGCCGGGGACAAACTGCAATCGAGGTACATGCCCTTAGCGGGAACCGAACCCTGGTCACTCCAGACCGCAGGCCAAAGCTCTAACCGCTGAGCCAAACCGGCCAGGGCGTGAAGTATTTCTTCTTAAATCATATTCTATACAAAAAATAATTTCAGGTTATAAAAAAGCCTTAATGCTAAAGCACTTTTCAAAGAAAATATCAGAGAACATCTTTATGAAGAAAATAGTAAGGAAGAGAATTCCTAAGCCAGACACTAAAAACATAAACCAGAGAGGATAGGATTCTTAAACTGGATCCCACTAACCTTTAAAACTTTGTTCAACACAATAATCAAAGGGAAAAGACAAGCCATGGGTTGGGAAAAGACAACTGTACTGTTTGTACCTGAGAAGGGCTCATATCTAAAATTGATAAACAATGTTTACACGTCAGTAAGAAGAAGACATATAGGGAAAGGCTATGAGCTCACAGAATAAGAAATCTGAATGGCCAATAAATATATGAAAAGATGCTTAACTCACTAGTAATCTGATAAATGTAAATGAAGGCATAATTTTTTTTTTTAACCCATCAAAATAGACAAAAATGTGTAAGTAGACCAATACCTAGGGTTTCTAAGGATGTGGGAGGAGGAAACCTTCAAGCCCTCCTGGTGGCATGTCAATTTCACAGCTACTTTGGAGAGAATTTGGCAATACCAAGTGCCAACTTGGTAAAGAGGCCCACTCTTTGCTTCAGTATTCTAGACACACACTCTAGAAAAACTCTCCCACTTATGTACCATATATGTTCACATCAGCATTGATTATAAGAGTAAAAAGAGAGAACACATATGTGAGGGCTATCAACAAGCAGTATATGTTAGAGGTATAGATAGCAGTTTAAATAAATAAACTAGAATAAATATCCCATATATGAGATATCTACCTACCTACCTACCTATCTATCATAATATGGGTAACACAAGCAAGTTACAGAAAGACAGAGTCAAGTTTGAAAATATGCATAACAATGCTACTAATTATGTATGAATACATACATATGTTATAAGGGTCTAAAAGGACTTAACAGGAATCAACATCTCTTTGAACTTAGTGCAGCCTATTAGTGATGTGGGGGAAGAGGGGGGGGGCACACATGTATTTACAGTGTTTTGTTTAAAAAAAAAGCTATGGCATAATATTAAGGTTTTATTTAGCTGGATGGTAGAAATGTGTGTTATTCCCTTTATTGTTCTGTATGTTTGAAATAGTTCATAATTAAAGAAAACACAGACATATACAAAACCCTTGCTATTAGTGGTCTATAATTCAACATTGACTTGTGTAAACTGAGATAAAGAGAAGAATCCAGAGAAACTATGTTAAAAGTATTTCACACATCATGTGGGTGACTGGGCTGTTCTCTACCAGTACCTTTTAACCTTAATTTGGTACAAAAACAGATTCTTAATCAGTAGATAAGAAAATCTACTTAGTGCCTTTCCCAGGGAGCCTTCTGTTAGCCAGCAAAGACTGCTGCTTTAATTGAGACGGTGATGCCACTTAATTGGAACACATGAAGGAGATTAAGGGGCTTCCCTTGTGCCCAGAGCTTTGCTGGGTCTCTGCCTTCTTGCTGGCAGCTTCTGCCAATTGGGATGAATCTGAGCCAAATTTTTACTGTCCTTCATAAATCACTAAATGACATATTTTAAATACAGAGCCCTTGTGTGTGCAGAGAGTATTCTGAAATGACATGCTGATTCTACTGATAAATTGAGAACTCATTACATTGACACAGTAGACATGAGCATTGCTTTTAACTTATTGATCTAGTAGTTTAATATGCATTAAATAAATTGATACTTGTGCTGGGACTCAATAATGTATTCAATTGATTGTATCTGCATATAAAAAGAGGTGCTTGGCCCTGGCCGGTTTGGCTCAGCAGTTG